CCTGAGCGCGAGTCGTGATATCGACGCCTGAGTAGAACAGCTTCCATCCTTTGAGGTTCAGGAGTCCAGAACCTTGGTGTCTCGTTGTCGAAAGTCCAACGATTTCATGTTGGTATGTTGCGGCTTCATCGATTAACTCTTGTTCTTTCCCTATAATTCAGAATGTATTCCTATTTCTAACTGTAAACTCTCAATGGCGGTATTGTTCTCGTTTAGCATTATTTAATGTGCTATAATGACATCGCCGAGTCGTCCTCCTCCTTTCAGGAAGGTTAGCGACAACTGAATAAACAAATGCTCACCTGTGAGGTGTGTTTATTATGGGTAGCATGAATCGCTCAGAATAATGAGATAGACAGGGTTTCACTTACCAGCATCAGTCTGAGGTTCGCACAAGCTTCTAGAAGGTCTGAACTGAAAAATTCAATAAGCGACCCAGCGCAGATTGAATACAGTGTTATATAGGTCACTATGATCAATGATGATAATAACAGTTTCACTGGTCATCGCGATTTAATTAATTGTGTACGCAGAACCCTCATCGGATATAGAGGGTTCAATTATTGACATTTACATTTTAGTAATGATAATTATTTGTGAGCAGAGGTATGGTCTAGTAGAGCTATTCCAAGCAGTAGCAATCATTAGCATCACAAGCCATTCGCACGTCTGATTATATCAGATAACGAATGGCTCGTCCCGGTTTAAATTTCAGAGCATGATGCATGGCCACAAGTTTAAAATTTTCTATGGCATCATTTCAAAAGACCACGGCTACATGGCACCTCCGCTGCCAAATGAATTTCGCGACATTTTGTCCCCTCGAGCTACCTCAGACTTTTCTTAAGCCAAATTTTGGGAACAAGTGCTGGTTTATATCACACCGCTCAAGCACCATGGAGCCTTTGCGTCCTTAAATGGTCTACCTGATCATCTGGGAGCAATAGGCCAATAATTCTGGTCTTCGACGAATATATCGCTGTTTGATTTTTTGCATGAATTAATCACATAAATGCTGTTCTATGTTAGACTAAGCTCTCCTCCAAAACCAGATTGTACGCCTGATGAAAATGAAGATCTGCCTGCATATAAGTGACTATCAAACTTCTGTAAAATTCGTAACCGTTTTTATGGCGTCCGTATACATAAACTAATTTAAGAAAATGTATAATAGTTTCATGAATACTTTCAGGTTGGTGCTGAATCACGTGCAATCAGCCATCCAGAATAAAGTACTCGCCTCCAATTGGATTGGTGAGCAATCGAAACAATATATTGTTCATAAATTGCAAAAGATCTATTCTGTAATTGGCTATGACAATTGGCTAACTGACAAAGCGCAGGTGGATGACTATTACAAGTCATTAAGATGTGACGACGGGGACGACTTCCTGACATGCTTCGTTGCGGCACATTCGTTCACCAATCAGAAGCTGTTGAGCCTTCTGGATAAAGACCCAAATCCATCTAACGTGGAGCCAAGGTTCTTTGCAATGAGTCCATTTTATATTGCTTACAGAAATGGCTTGATTGCACCACAAGCAACTTTCGCCTTTCCGTTTTATGGTGGAGACATGCCAGTGGCTGCATTATATAGCACCATTGGATATTACCTTGGTCACGAGATAGGTCACGCGATTGATCACGTGGTTTGAGTCAGAAATCAGGTGAATATATGTTTATACCTTTTCTTTAGGGCATGGAGCGAAACAACATGGATCCCAGCAAAGAGCTGTTGAGCGAAGAGGGCTGGAATCACTTCGATAACGTTTCTAATTGCTTCATTCAATCCGGCAACAATGTTTGTTCCAGCCATATGGAAAATTTGTGTCTCGATGGCGCGAATATCATAAATGAACTGCTAGCCCAAGACATTGGAATGAAAGCTGCTATGGCAGCATTGATTCATCAGCTGCAGGAGAGAAACGCCACGTCCTTGCCGTTAGTATCGAGCCGTTTAACCGATATGCAGCTATTCTTTCTGTATTACGCCCAAACCCAATGTGAAGTCATGAGCCGCTTCACGCGCAGGGCTCAGTTCTGCTCCAAAATTCCTCCAGCCGAGGAGCAAGTCCTCTCAACTCTGAGAAACGTGCGAGAATTTTCAGAGGCGTTTCAATGCCCGATAGGCAGCTTCATGCGACCTAGCGAGAGCTGTCATTTTTTGTGAGTCTCATGGGTCGGTTTTCGCAGTAGTGCAAGATTAGTACTGATTTCATTTGAAAGTGATATGAATGAATTGATTAGCTGATTCGAAGTAATTGCATCAAGGAATAAAAATTTTTTATGAAATTACGATTTTTACTACTTGAAATATGACAACCTGAATGTCGCGCGTTCGGTGATCGATAGATGGAACATCTTCTGTGCAATGATATCGCGATACAAGCGTTATGCTATTACACGATTTTTTAATAGTAGCCGTAAATGGAGGTATGAGTGCTAAACTGAACTATACGCGAGACTTATATCTGCCAATTCAGTCAAACGGAGTGAAATCACGTGAAAACACCAGCGAAAATATTATCCGGGTTGGACAATACACAACATGCAAAACAGGTTAATGTAAACTCAACGATATCATGCTGTACACAAAACAAATAACATTTACGTCAAAGGTATTCCTTCAACAGTTGAAGCAGCTTCAGGAAGTGACAAGATTTATAGTCTCTGTCAGAGACAGGAAAGAGATGGTGCATTTTAGTCAAGAGAACAGTATCCTGAAAACTACAGAAAACGTTAATTTCGCATCCTCCAGTTGGTCTCTTTACGAGACAGCCCGGAGAGCGAAGTTTTCGAACTCACGGCACAGAAACCTCAAAATACCTGGAGAAGCGCCACTGTTTAACAACCAGGAGGAAATCCAATTTCAAGGGAGGGGGTTAAACGAAATATGAAGAGCTTCGACCCGACAGATTAATTAGCGTAAGTTGAGCTACATAATCAGTACTTCGAATATAGAGAAAAATACATGAAACCACTTGAGGCTGAGAATAGTGAAATACACACAGTCCTCATTATCAACACAGCACCATCGCTTCAAATCTGAGTTTGCAACAATCCAGGCCACTGGACGACCAAAATACGCTAAAAGAGAGAGGTAATTGCTAAACAACACAATCGAATCTGAGGACACAATAAACCAAGTACAGTCCAGATCAAGTGATTTTCTGTTGACCTGTCAGCCTGACGCATCTCCTCTACCGGATCTGACACAGATTTCCGCACAGAATCTTTGAGGATGCAATGCAATCTTCAAAGAACATGCGTTGCTGCGTACCACAAACGAGGACCACACCTTTCAAAGACCGGAAAACTCCTAATGTTACGAATCGCTTTGGCATTCATATTGTCTGTTGCTACTATTACAACTCTACCGCAGTGTGATCTCTGCGCGCATACGCCGGATTTCTCCGTTCCTAAACTTCGCGAACCCCGTCACATCACACTTCCTCTGGAAGAATCTGATTTCTATTGTTTGTATCCGGGATCGCACACTTTCTTACAGTATGCAGCATTCATGAGTATGGCTGATGGACGTGCTTAGACACAGCGGAACATCGTTTTGCATGATTACTTAAATTATTCCTTATTTTACACAAGCTCATAAATTTGCCTTCATTAATGTTTGTGTGACCTTTACGTAATAAGATCCGAAAAAACTGTTTTCTTCAGCATACTCGTATAAAATTTGCCTCTATTATAGATGGGTGCGTTGTTACCGTCCTTAATCAAACCGTTCAATCGATGCATGCTTTTATAGGAATAGTGAAGGGCCTGGAAACGGCTACAGCGATGTATAAAAGAAACGAGTTTGCCTCACCGTCCACCCTCCACAGACGCGTTCGGGACATGTATTCCTGGTCAAACGTTGCTGCACGCGGATTAACGGATTAACGCGTTGTAATGCACCCTGTTGGCAAAGCTGTCTTAGAAGTCCGCTTCGAACACCGGATATACGAGGTTCGATTCCCCTCGAAAACAATCGCTATCTCATTCATGTATTTTGTTGAGGAAGTAATTTTCGATTTTCGACACATTGCATCAGAACGGAGTTGAGCGCCAAACTCAGAGGCGACAGGTGATGAGAAAAAACGTCGGTCAGAATCCCCCGCACTTCCTTCTTTTAAGGTCAGTAAATTATAAATAATACAATAATGAATAATGACTGCCACTAAACCTCTGGGAACAAAATAGGAGACTGCACCTTGCGCTTGCCATGTGACTGTAGAAATGTTTAAAAAATGTGCCACTCCTCATCAACAACTCACCATCTACTTCATTTCAAAAGAAAGGCGCGGAAGTGGTCTAATCATGAAAATGATGGAAGACCGACGTCTCAAGGCTGACCATATTTTCTTTACTATTACTACGTTGCGAAAAGTGTAGAGTTGTGTAATATACGGTGATATGGCGGTACTGAAATCCCGACACGCGGTGTTTCGTCAAGTTTCTCTACACAATTGCACCAAACCCTCGCTTTTACTCGCTTACGGAGGGCAGTCAAGCAGGGGCTATGGCGAATGTTACATACTGAACGCAGGGTCAAGTCACCAAGCATCGCCATGCCAGAGCATCTTCCAGGACCAATGAAGCCAAAGGGGCGGGACGATGTCCGCCGAAACAATAAATGGGATGCGGAAGTACTTACTGTAATGAACGCAATAACGCATATTCCTCGGCAATGTGGACGCAAAGAAACCAAGCCGTTTTCGCTGCGCAGATGCAGTGCCAGTAGGTAAAGGTCTGTGTTTGCTGGTCGAACCGGAAAATTACCGTTTTTGGTAACCGCCACAGACCACCACGAATATATTTTGTTTAATTTCATAAGTAGCAATCTTGATCACTTTTAATTGTTGTGCAATTTTCCACTTTTATTCCACATTGGCATTTTATTCTGATATCAAAAGAACCGTTTCGTGCATAGTGATACTTTGCTCCTTCGCCCATCATCTGTTTCGAAGACAAGCAATGTATGTACATGATATGCTAGACATAACATTTAGAATAGTCAGTGGTGCCTCTAATCGATGAATTATAAAATTTTTGTTCACTTTGTGATCTTCGTGAACAAGTGTCCATTTGGGACATTTTTCACATATTCGTTTCTTCGAAAATCTGTTTGAAATATGCCCTTCAGGATGGCCTTAAGAGTTACAGGCTGTCGGGGCGAATAGTATTACCTGTACTGACGTTCAGCTCATCTAAAAAGCGACTAACGAAGGTTGTCACTGTAAACCTTTGACACAGACATAAAGAAGGATGCATGTATAAGGAGTTTTATATGGTCCGCATTTATGCATGTGCCTGACGTTGATTGTACAATCAGGAAATGCTAAAATTTGGTGCATCTTTTCAGCATTTCAGATCTGGCGTGAACAGTTTGTAATAATTCGTAATTTTGAAACATTGACTGAATAATTCGTCGATGCCTCGGTGTTTATCCTGGAAAAATATAGCAAAACACTGTTCACTGATACATATGGCAAAAAACACTGAAACACCGTTAAACTTCCGTCCAGGCGAATTTTTACATACAGAGAAATATCAACTTCAGAAGGTGAATCTGAACCATACACTAAAGTGGCCAACAGCATCACGTGGCGCACATCTCTGCAATCGTAAGACACCGAGAAATTTTAGACAGGACTGCTGCATGGCGAATGGCACGACACAGCTCTTATCTTTGTCCGCCATTGCAAATGCGAAAAGTCTAAAGTCCCCTGCTACATCACATAAGTAAACACGAAAGGCTACTAAAGAGTTAGGCAATTTCACCACAGTCTGTGTAAGAACACCAAATGGCGGCTTTTGGCAAAGCGTGTATCCAACAGCTGCTTTTCTCTACGGTAGTCTCCCATGCGGTTTGTGCCCTCAACAAAACAGAAGCAAGTGGAATCAATGCAACAACGCTCATTTCAGGTACCGAAAGTGCATGTTTATGTTTAAGGCGATTTCAGAGTATAAAACATTTCAGATGCTGAGCATGGAAGTGGTGGTGGCATGAAAAACCCAGTTCAAGATGCTCCTAATCTCAGCCGTTACGAGAAGTTCTTGCTGGAAACAATGAACGCCTCCAAAGATCCCTGCGACAATTTCTACGAGTATGCGTGTGGCAACACAGTGGCAAAATTGAGGACAGAACACCCTCATGCTCAGCGCCACAGTATTATAATGTCACTCGAATTGGAACTCCTTTCGAGCATGCACCAATCGATCATGAATATCAGCACCTCAGGCAACGCTTCCGGCTTCGAACAAAAACTCAAAAATTTCCATTCGTAAGTTTTATGCGAATCGAATAAATCACATCATAGCAGGTGATGGCAGAATACAGAGCATATGCAAGCGATTTTTCTCTCCATTATTCATACCCCATTTACATGGCGCCCTTTTGTTGTTACTTGTTTGTAGCATTGTATAGTAATTATCATTTTCGCAAATCGTGGCGTCCTCATGTTCAACGGGAGGCAGTTTCCGCGGTTATGCGCAGCTGTGTTTGCAGCTCCAGCATTTATACAGTAGAACGTAGAACATTAAGACAATTTTTATAGTAACACAAAACCTGTGGAAAGACACGGTACTCTAATCCACGAGGATTCAACACGGTTCAAATCAAGTGGAGCACCAGTGAGATGTTGCATGGATCAATTTTCTTATAAGAAAGATTAAGTGTCGTCATGTTGTGGAATTACGAGAATGATGAGCTGTTAAATGTATGAACTGAATGAGTAATATCTTGCGAAGAAAACAGAACTATCACTAATTGTCTGGCAATCGTTCAACCACCGTTCGGTACAACGATTTTCCAAAGCTAGCGACTGAACTGATATATCGCCATAGGAGAGCACAATCACCTTCAGATATGATTTCAAAATCAGATGGAGAAACATAAGTGATAGTAAGTGTCATGCCGCACCCTGTAAATTGCTAGCTCAAGTCCTAAGCGGTTAGAACGAAGCGCCATCAGGGAAGATTGAAGATATTTTTGCTCACCTAATTGAGTATGTCAGTCACACAGTTAAACCAGGTTAACCTCTCGTTAACGACCTCAACAAAGCAATTCAAATTTTTAACCCGTTTCACCCATGTTTAGAATAAATTGGTTTCTTTTCTAGCAAAAAGTATCATGAATTGGTGATTCCGTCTGTTTTGGCGATTGATATACAC